GATTTCGTTGAGTTATCAGACAAACAGGGACCAGCAGATAGGAAGAAGTATCCCCTGGAAGTCATCAGCATTCTGTAACAGTGCTTCTGAGATAGACTTACTCGTCTTGCGCCATCAAAGAACCGTCGTGGTTCACCATACAATGGTTCAAGTCAAGTACCGACCAGGTCCAACCGCCTGTTGTGGTCCTGCAAAACGCGGCCATCTTATACTTTTCGTTCATGAGAGTACCCCAATCAACGCAAGACCCCAGAAAACCGCGCGGTTGGAGAGAAGTCTCCCTTTCCGCAAGCTGATCTGCGTGTTGCTCTCCTGAAACATGATGTAGGACACTGCATAAAACAGCTAAATGGCCCAGGACCCTGACGACCGGAGAGGCCATGGCGGATATCTGATGATAGCAGTAGCGAGAGTGCACCCACTTCGGGATTCTTGGTGTCTTTGTACTTGTGGGAAATGAGATGTTTCTCCCGGCCTCGACCGCAGTGAGAAACTGCTCTATCCTAGTCGTTTCTGGTTCTGCCCGCCTTCCGGTTCTCTTAGCCACTTTTAGCTTCTCTCTCATGCTGTGTGAGATTGAGATGCCGAAGGCGCAGGGCAAAAGCTCGGATCAGCGTGTGTTGCTGCAAATCCAACTACGGCCTTGGTTGCGATGTAGGTAAGCCAACGCCGCTTTGATCTGCCAGTGGGATGATCGAGCCACATGCAGATGAATGCTCGAGTACAAAAGATTACTGTGCCTGCAGGAACCGTCTGATTTCCTGTCTTTAGAAAGTACACTCCCCTCAGCATACGTGCAATGACGCCGGTCGAACTTGGAATTATCGGAGGGCTGGCAGGCACGATGTTTCTCGTGATTGTGCTGCTATGCAGTGTCTGCAACATCAGAAGAGATCAAAAGCGTAGTCACACTACAGGCTTTGCTGTGAGTCACGATGCAGCTCGCCCAGTGCCGTGTTCTCCTGACATTTCTCAGATATCATGATTCCCGTGACTGCAGACGTTTGGACTTCTACTATACCCGAGATGCAAGACAACGGCAGCATTCAAGACTGCTTCCTGGATATATTGTGTATACTGTACTCTGAAACGTCAGGTATATAATTCGTAGCTCCTATTGGGCAAGTCAAGATGGCGAGTGATCATCTAAGCACCCGCTGTTGTGTTCTCAGCTCAATTCACCTTAAGTTTCCTTCAGTTGCCCCATAATTGCCCGTTAGAGATTGTATCGCACTGTACGCCTCCGACTCATGGCGAGC